GGTTCAGGGTTTAGGGTTGCAGGTTTAGGGTTTAGGGTTTGAGGTTTAGATTTAGGGTTTAGGGTTTAGGGTTAAGTCACTTTTTTGCGTTCTCTGCATCTGCTCTCTATCAAGCTTCGAACACCCACCATGTAGAGTTTCCAGTCTCGTGTTTGACCATCGAGGCTTCCTAAAAGGGGCCCGAGGTTTCCATAGGTCTATAGAGCGGGTAGGGTTTAGGGGTTTGAGGTACAGAATGTTGAAGGATCTAGTGACTGGGCTTTTGGGTGGCTCCATGCACTAAGGAACTGCGAGGAGGGCTATCTCGCTTTCTTCAGGACCCTCTCTGCTTAATTCGGGTTCGGCTCGGGACGGTGAAGCTTCTGCATTGCCGGTATGAGTTTACGGTGAAACTGCACCGCAATCATCTTGTGATGATAAACTAGGCTCGCTGGGAACCCCTTGATAAGAAGAGCCCCCCCCCTTTTCCTTGCTACTTGGAGGCTTGTGGGTAGTTATAAGTGGGATGATAAGTCCCCTAATATGGGTTATAGGTGTGGTTACCCCACTTATAACCCCACTGATAACTACCCATCGTTTAGGGCCTAAGGCAAAGGGCTTAAGAGCCTCCGAGAACCCTAAACCCTACTTGGAGGCCCAGGGGACTTAGCAAAGGTAACTCCAATTAGGGTACTTACAACTCTACTTATAACCTACTTACTAAGTCCCCTGGGCCTCCAAGTAGACCCTAAACCCTAAACCCGAAACCCTAAACCCTAAACCCTAAACCCTACTTACGAAGGGTTCAGAGTTTCCTGGCTTTGGGTGGACGGGCCTCAAAGGCAATGGCCTGCAAAATTCTCAGTCCTACATGATCGACCAGGGCCAGAACGAGAATCTACCTTATGTAGGCCCCCTGGGTTTAGGGTTTTGGGTTTAAGGGTTTTTTTGCCTTAAGGGTTTAGGGTTTAGGGTTTAAGGTTTTTTTGCTTTAAGGGTTCAGGGTTTAGGGTTTAAGGTTTAGGGTTTAGGGTCTAGGGTCATTCTACCGTGCTAAGAAGAGGACTCATACCTGAAGGGTACATTCTGAACTGACCGCAACTACCCTGCAACTTACCCTAAACCCTAAACCCTCAGGACCTAGGACCTCAACCCTCCAGTCGCAGAGCGCAGCAGGCTTAACGGTTGCTGGGACTAGGCTGGAGGTCTAGAATCAAGCTCCCTTTCGTTCTGCCCTAAACCCTTGACCCCAAACGGGACCTAATGTCGGGGCCTTGACAAAAAGAATAGGGTTTTGGGGCCCTTTAAACTAAATCTATAGTAAGGAGCCCTCAAGAAACCCTAAACCCTAAACCCTAAACCCTAAACCCTAAAACTTAGGCTTCTATGTTAAATCCCCAAAGTCCGCAGTCCTTCGAAATGGAGGCCGCCAGTTCCGCTGCGCCCAGCCGCGGCCTCGCAGGCACTCTTTGGCATCGGGGCCTCAATAATCAGAATAGGGTTGAGGGTTTAGGGTTGAGGGTTTAGGGTTTAGGGTTTAGGGTTTAGGGTTTAGGGTGTAGGGTTTAGGGTTTAGGGTTTAGGGTTTAGGGTTTAGGGGCCTCAAGAATCAGAATAGGGATCTGCACGGGGTTCCCTAACGATTCGCTAGTAGGTCTGAAGAGGGTTTACAAGATTTAGCATAAGAGCCCGAATCCTAAACCCGAAACCCTAAACCCCTAAACCCCTAAACCCTAAACCCTAAACCCTGAATCAGTAGGCTTCGCAGCCTTCAAGGAGCCCCTACAAGAACTCTTGAACCCTAAGCCCTAAACCCTACGGGAAAACCTGAAGGAACCCTTAAACTATCCTATAATGGAAACCGTCAAGGAAGATACTTTAACTGAGACCCGTCAAGGAACCCTTAAAGTATAACTCCAGACCCTTCCCCTAAAGCCAAAACCCTAAAGTATAATCCTAAACCCTGACCTCTAAACCCTAAACCCCTAACCCCCAAACCCCTACACCCTAAACCCCTTAAACCCCTAAACCCCTAAACCCTAAACACCCAACCCTGAACCCTAAAAGGCCCTAAACGCCCTAAAAAACCTAAACCCTAAACCCTGAACCCTAAACGGCCCTAAAAAACCCAAAAGCATAGGACCTTTGCATAAACCGTGAACCCTAAAGGGCCCGAAAAACCCTCAGCCTTTACATACAGAAAGCCCAGAGAACCCAATACCTCTTTAACTAAGGAATATACCTTAAATTACACGGTCCCTAATATGTTGATGCAAAGTATATTACCCTAAACCCTAAACCCCAAACCCTAAACCCTAAACCCTAAACCGGTTTAGGGTTTAGTATGACATTTAGGGTTTAGGGTTTTGGGTTTAGGGTTCTCTGGGAACCCGCTACGGCCCCGGCCAGAGAGCCAGCGCCCGGCAGCCGCGGGTGTGGAGAAAGCTGCTCTGGGCCTCTCGGTTAGGGGGCTTTAGGGGTTTAGGGTTTAGGGTTTAGAGTTTAGGGTTTAGGGTTTAGGGTTTAGGGCTTAGGGCTTAGGGTTGAGGGTTTAGGGGTTAGGATCGTAAATATAGGGTTCCGTTAAAGGGTGCCGGGTTTGGGGTTTGGGGTTTGGGGGCTTGGGGGCTTACAGTAGGGGTTTAGGGGTTTAGGGTTTAGGTTTTAGCATTTGGGTTTAAGGCTTTAGGGGTTTAGGGGTTTAGGGGCTAGGGTCTTAAATATAGGGTTCTAGGGTTCCTGGAAGGGCTCGTCTATGATGGGGATCGACTTTTTGTTTATACACGCCTCTCGGTTTGGGTCATCGGGGGGCGAGGGCTTCGGCCTAAGGGGTTTAGGGTTTAGGGGTGGTTTAGGGGTTGGGGTTTAGGGGTTGAGGGCTTTAGGGGTTTAGGGTTTAGGGGTTTAGGTTTAGGTTCTCGGGTTTAGGCTTTAGGGTTTTAGAGGTTTGGGGGTTTAGGGGTCAGGGCCTTAAATATAGGGCTCCTTTGAAAAGGGTTCCTGGAAGGGCTCGTCTATGATGGGGATCGATTCTTTGTTAGTATGGACCTCTCGGTTTTCAGGAACAGCCTTACAATCAAATCAGACCCTTGCATTAGTCTTCAATTGAGTGGCACTGGGCTCTCTGAATTCAAGGTCGCCACACCCAAGAACAGCTGCAGCAGAAACTCAATCCCAATGGCTTCTCGCTCGTGGACCCGCTTGCGGGCTCAGAAATGAAAAACTGCGTCGGTTTAAGCAACCTAGAAGCCTTTTGGGTGGAATATGGCTTGTTTTTCAATGGTATACTTTGTAAAAAGAACCTTAAACATGTTGTTGTATATCAAGGCATACTAGTAACGATTCTGGCTTCGATATTAGCGGCGCTTCTTGCAAGGGCGGAACCAAGTCGAGGGTTCTTCTCAGGGTTCTATTGGTTCTGTAGGCTGTAGGGGCACTTTACGAGCAGAATTAATGTTCTGGTACTTTCTTTCATACCTTGCTTGTACACCGACCCTTAAAGTATGCTTTGCAAGTGACATTCAACTCCAAAACCCTAAAAACTATACCCCAGACACGAAAAACAAACCCAACCCGAATCCAAAACACGAGACCCGGAACCTACGGCCAAGAACGAAACCCTAAACCCGAAGGGTGGAACCTCCAAACCCCAAGCCCCTAAACCCTAAACCCCAACCCGGGATCCCTACTGCAATCCTGCGGATCGTTGACGGCCTTCTTTGGCGAAGGCAGAGGCGGAGAAAGGTCATACACCTTCGGGGTGGCGTAGTGCGCCCATTGTTGAGGGCTTTTTGTTCTTGAGGGCTTTTGGGTTTAGGGTTTAGGGTTTGGGGTTTAGGGTTTAGGGTTTAGGGTTTAGGGTTTAGGGTTTAGAGTTTGGATTTCAGTTTAAGGAATGCTCCAGATCTCCAAAGCCTACCAACAACAACCATCCGCCCCGTAAAAAACATGCACCAATAACAAGAACAAGACAAGGTCTGTAGAACTAACAATAATGACAATAATAATGGTCAGAGAATAAAAATACTGTAAGAATGACAATGAGAATAACAATAGCAATGATAGAAAAGACAAAACAACAACAATAACAACCCTAAACCCGAAACCCTAAACCCTAAACCGTATAATAATACACATCCCGGAAGGCCTTGAGCGACTCCCCTGGGGTGGGGATGAGCCCGGCGGACACAGCGACCAGCGCCACGTCTTCCCGCAGCTTCCTCGGGAGCTTAAGGGACTAAGGTCAAAGGGCGTGGGGCTTGGGGTTTAGGGTTTAGGGTTTAGGGTTTAGGAGCTTAAGGGACTAAGGTCAAAGGGCAGGGTTTAGGGTTTAGGGTTTAGGGTTTAGGGTTTAGGAGCTTCAGGGACTAAGGCTAAAGGGCGTGGGGCTTGGGGTTTAGGGTTTAGGTTTTTGGTTTAGGGTTTAGGGCTTAAGGTTTAGGGCTTGGGTTTCGGGTTTAGGGTATTCCATAAGGGCTTAAGTTCGGGGCCCTAAAAGATAAATGAGTTTTCGGGGTATGTTGGAGCATGCTTATGACAAGTGCGACAAGCGGCTTGACTAAACTCAAGACCCTAAGGGTTTTGGGCTGGCTAGGGTAGTTAGTGGGTTTAGGGTTTAGGACATCCTAAACCCACACTTCCTGTCATATCGAACCATAAGCCCCAAACCCCAAACTCTCCGACGCTGCGATCCTGGCGGCGCGACAGCATTGAGGAAGCCCCCAACGCGGAGCTCACCAGCGGGCCGGGGAGGTTCCGCCTCTTCAGAGGAATTTATGACTTGGTGACTTCATGGCTTTTAGCCTGAGACCTCAATTGTTAAACTCCCCTTTTTATTATGATTTCCATCTAAAACTCGAGAAAAAGAAGGTAAGTTCTTGGGGGTTACGGTGGGGTATAGAGTTTGGGGCTTTTGAATTTGGGAGTTTGGGGACTTGGGGTTCAGGGCTGTTGGGCTTCGGTTTAAGGCCGTCGTGAGGTTCGGGTTTAGGGGTGTTAGGGTTTAGGGGTTTAGGGGTTTAGGGGTTTAGGGGTCTAGAGGTTTAGGGTTTAGGGTTTAGGCTTTAGGCTTTAGGGTTTGGGGTGTAGGGTTTAGGGTTAACGCCTAGCAACATGTGGCACTCTGGCCGGGTCCGACTATTCGTAGCGACCTGCGATAAAGACATGCATTGCAGCCGCAAACGAAAGAACAAGGGCGAGACGTCCTATTTGGAGGGTAAGTAGGCAAGAAGTAGAGTCATAGGTCCCTAAAGGGGATCCTGATTGGGGCTATGACACGTACAACTGTATAGCTCTATGAAATAAGTATAACTACTCACTAAGTCCCCCGACCCGTCAAGTACATCCTCTCGGCGGCAGCCCGAAAGCAATTCCCGACTCCACACGTTGAAGCCAACAACCCTCGGCCAGTGCCTAGAAACATGCAAGAAAACTGTTCAAGTCTTGATCACCCCTAAATCCTAGACCCTAAACCCTAAATTAAATCCTAAACCCTAAACTAAACCCTAAACCCTAAACAATAAACCCTAAACCCTAGAGCACTATCAATTTCTAATCCCAATATAAAATGTACATACTTGGAGGTTCATGGGTAGCTATAAGTGGAGTGATAAGTCCTCTAATATGGGTTATAAGTATAGTTACCCTACTTATAACCCCACTTATAACTATCCATGAGCCTTCAAGTACAGCACAACAAGCACCAACCAGCCCAGGGTCCGAGTTAAACCATACTTAAACCCGGTCTCTGAACCCATAAAACCCTAAACCCTAAACCCCATCTCTAAACCCCTAAAACCATGAGCCCGAAACCCTAAACCCGGTCTCTGAACCCCTAAAACCTACCCCGGTCTCTGAACCCCTAAAAACCCTAAACCCTAAAGCCCTAAAACCCTGAGCCCTAAACCCGGTCTCTGAACCCCTAAAAACCCTAAACCCCAAACCCTAAAACCCTAAAACCCTGAGCCCTAGAATTCACCACGTGCCTCTGGCAGATCCCAGCAGCGAAGGCTCGCGGAATCCCAGCAGCCGGTGTAGGCCCGCCGAGCCTATGTCGGGGTTTAGGGTTGAGGGTTTAGGGGTTTAGGGTTTAGGGTTGAGGGTTGAGGGTTTAGGGTTTAGGGTTTAGGGTTTAGGGTTTAGGGCTTAGGGCTTAGGGTTTAGGTTTAGGGGGTTTAGGGGTTTAGGGTTTAGGGTTTAGGGTTTGGTTTACGGTTTAGGGGTATGTCAGGCTCTCGAGCGATCTTGAGTGTCAGCCTAAAGCCAAATCGCAAAACCGTGGA